TGTGATTTTCGATTTTTCGAATTTTCATATGTACATAATTTACCCGACGTTCTTACGGTGAAGGAAAACATCGTGATGCCTGCACATATCGCCGAAGAAATTCGAAGATATGTGTGAAGTTAACCAACCCGCACTTGGCCAGCGTGGTTGACTCTGGCGTAGTCATCCCTTAATAGGGTAGGCTCCGAGCCCCTCGGTGGGGACGTGTAGTGAGCTGATGATGATAGTGATGATGATGAAACAATTGTGCGATAATTTAGTAAAAGGTGTATGCGCTTTAAATTAGTAATTCACATTATTATTTGTAAATTAAATTTCGAAGTATTTAACACTATACGGTACCAAAAACGTATTGAAAATACAACATCCTTTCAATACTTTAAAAATATGTTTCAAACTCAACGTAGTCAGGCTTACCGCGTGTCAGATTTATTGAGTTACTGCAAACGTTGCTTCTCCTACTTATTGATCTATTTCATTTTAGTGAACAGGTGGAATGAAAGAACTTTGTAAGAAGACTTTGCCAGAATATTTTCTTGGCATATTTTTAAAATAATAATATGGTGGGGTACACCGATAAAGGTTGACCTATATTTGAAAATAATAAAGTAAACAGAGACACAGCGATTGTAGTTCTGAAAAAAATGACAGACTCTGTACAAGGATAAATACGTCGCCACCGACAACTGTTGTGCTTGTATAAGTAAATATACAAGTACATTAAAAAAAAGGGACCTCACTAGTGTTATAAGGATTATCAACCAAAAAAAAGAGAAGAAAAAAAAACTATTTAAAAAAAGAGTACGGGCCAAGAGTCTGTAGAAGTTGATATAAAAAAAAAATAATAAAGTAAGGATGGACTGTGTGAAAGACGATATACTTAAAGGAGTGAGTTCAGATATAACGGGTGTTAGAGATGTACGGAAGAGTACAAACTCTACCAACCTCTTAAGGAACAAGGGTAGGTTGATGGTAAGTTTTCTGTATTTAGCAGTATTTTAAATAGTGACTTTATTAAAATGTTAAAACAAGTATAATTGCTATTATTAAATAATCTAGATTCATAATTTAATGGAAATGTAAAGAGAGTACATTTTTATTAAAAAAAAACTTCGTCGGGGAAACTAAAGAATGGAACCGTGAACCTTTTGAAGTATGACATTGATGAATAGTGGTTTCTGAGCAAAATAATGATAATGAAAGTGTACTTTGAACAAAATTATATCATTAAATGAGATTGTAGGATAAACCGTAAGATCTTTTGTTTTCGGTAGTAATAAAATTTATAACTAAATGGATTTGACAATGGACGCATAGGAAGGGGAAATGTCCTCTTTATGTGCGTCTCCTCCGTCAATTATTAAATAACTTTCATTTTAGACTAGCTATCGCCCGCGACTCCGTCCGCGTGAAATTAAAAAAAACAAAAGTGAGTAGCCTATATGTTCTTCCACGCTATCTTCTACATCTATGACAAATTTCAACAAAATCGGTTCAGCCGTTTAGGCTACAAACTCTAACATCCATCCATCCATCCATCCATCTAAACTTTCGCATTTTTTAATGTTAGTATGATAATAATAAAGTTTATATCTATACTAACATACTATAAAGGAAATATATGTATTTTTGTAAATAGCTCAAAATCTACTGAACCGATTTAAAAAAATTCCATCGCTATTAAAAAGCTATGTCATAACTGGGTATATTTTTAATCTTCTTTTTATTTCATGGCGATGAAGTCGCGAACAAAAGGTAGTGCATGATATTTCAACAGACTTTTATTTATTTTCATAAACACTGGACTATTCAAACTGACAATTTCTTTACATTAAAATATACCTATTTGCTTAAAATATCGCAAGAAAAGAATGAGGTGAGTCATATTTTTTTTCACAAAAATACATAAAAAAACTGTTTAAAAAAGTATATTATAAGAATAAATTGTTACAACAAAGTCCATTGGAAAATATTTCATAGAATTAAAGGGGAGTGAAAAAAAAAATAAAAACACTTTCAACCAGTATTTTGCTGAGAGTGCTAATCTCGACATATCAAAGAGGTGTCAATCAAACAATTATAGTACAAAAGAACACTTGTTCTGTTCACATAAATTTACAAATTTGATTTTTTTGTTCATATACATTTTGACTCGTAGTACACTTCATAACACATTCGAATTGGACGAAAAAAATTAACAACTAGTACTAATTTCTTAGTATTTTGTTTTAGATGAATGCAAATGTACAGCAAATGTATAAAATTAAAAAAATAATACGGGTATTCAATATGTTTGTTACATATTATATAAACCCAAAAACTATTGACACTGAGTTAAAAATCTTTCATTATTAAAATGCTGCACTATGCATAATTGACATAGGTTGTTATTAAGAATGCTATGAAATGTTATTAAATAAATATTCATACGTGCGAAACCTGGTCGCTATTGTTGTATAAAAATTTACTAATATTCAGTGACGGTTTTAGGGTAGGTCGAGGTGGGGCGACTGCCCAGGGCGCCCAAATGCTCCCTTCAAATCTTTTTTCTTACACATTTGTAATGAAGTATAGGGCGTGTAAATCTCGCCCCAGCTAGTAAAGCTGAAACCGGCCCTACTAAGATTTTTTTCTATGAGAGATAAAACTTTTAAAATAAAAGTTGAAATCACTTTTCCACTCGACTGTACCGATATTTGTGTATAAAAGAAAATCAAATCTATGCTTTTAAATCATTCTATACTATCAGTCAAGCATGGACGAAACATTTCAAACCTTTAATAGAGTCCTTTGTTTTGCTGGAATTTCTTTTTTCTCTAAAACCAATCAATTATCAAAGAGATGGTTGTTATTTCAAATTTTCAATTTCATTCTTGGTTTTTTAACGGTCGCTTTCACCTCTGGATTTATGATAGTTCATTTTAATAATATGCTTCTCTTTATCCAAGGCGCTTGTATTTGGACGACTGGCGTGATTATGTTCACTTCTTTAGGAGTATGTTTGCTATTTCGAGGAAAATTCCTGATCTTTCTTAACGAGATGGTTTTCAAAGATTCTGTATTAGATATGCCTTTGATTGTTTATGCTTTGGAAAGTAATAGAACTGGTCGATTGAGAGAATTGAAAGATTTAGTTCTAGAGTCTGAAGAAAAGTTTCTAAGATTTGCAAGAGTTTTGTTAAAAACATACATTATCATTGCAACAGTCTGCGTAACGCTTTATTTGTGCTGTGCCATTTATCAGATGATCAATTCGAATGATAATACTTTAAGATTGTTAGGTTAGTACTTCATACTGTTTCAAATCATCATCATCATCACCAACTCATTGTATGTACGTCGCCACTGTGGGGCTCGGTGCATACCCTAAGTTAGGGTGACTTTAACAGTGGTAGTGCCCGCTTTAACATCTTAGCACGAATGGGCCGGCACGCCCGGTGTAATACCACGACCACACAGAAGACAGGCGTGAAATGGGAGCAATTCCGTGTTTCGTCTGATGAGTGTCTTGCCGGAGGCCTAATTTAAGTCCTTTTCTCTTTACCACCCCTTTCTTATAAGGGGAGGTTGGGAGGAGGAAGTGGATTTGACGGTGGAGGAGATGCGTAGGAAGGGGAAATATCCTCTTTATGTGCGTCTCCTCCTCCGTCGTGTAAGGGTAGGCAACGCATCTGCAATTGCGGATGTCTATGGGCAGCGGTCGTTTCGTCATTTTGGCGATTTCAGGTGGTCGCTTGCTCGTTTGCCACCTTATGTTATATAAAAAAAAAGACTAGGCTATAGTCAACCACCCTGACCCACTGTCATTTGTTTCTGTTTCATAAATTTAAACTTAATTCATATACGAGTATTTACTTAGGGTAGACTGCGAGCTCCTCAGTATGAACGTATGATTATGTTTTGAACTTCACTCAATCCGTTAGTTAAGTAAAAGTATTAAGATGTAGGTGCAACTTATAGATTTTCCTTTTACAGCTTTTGATATGTGGTTCCCTTGGAGTTTAGAAAACTTCTACGTGTACGTGGCTACATTTATATTTCACGCTTATGCTGGTTACTTATGTTGTATTGGTAAGTTGAAAATATTTTACTTTAGTAGAATTGAAATACTGAAATCCTCAGCGGAAGTCGGATAAATGTCCCCTGTTAATATTTTTAAAAATTAGAAGAGTTAAGTACAAATCCTAAATTGATTTGCCAAAACATGAAATTTGAGGTGTGATTTAATTCGGATTCTTCTCCAATTCTTCGTAGATTCATCTTTAGTATAAGTCATCATCATTACTGATCTGTACGATTGTTGAAGCTACTAATTTCCTGTTACGTTTATGGTCTTACTTGGTTATGTATGTTTTAGCAAATCCTGGCCTACAATCTACAATAATACTTTTAGTAGGTCAAACGATACGCCAGTTAAGGATCATTACGTTTATTTTACAAAATTTGAATGAACTGTCAATAGAGTTGGCAGATAACAAGGAGAACTGGCAATACTGTTGCACTGAAATTTTATCAGAATGTTTCAAACATTATGTTAAAATAAAAAGGTTTGTAGTATAATTACTGTGTAAAGATAATGCACTACCCGCTATTAAGTGTTGATGGATGTTTGTCACCACATATCTTCAAAACGGCTTAACGAATATAGATGAAATTTTACACAGATGTAGAACATAGTCTGGAAGAACATTAGTAGGTACTAAGCGATTTTTTAAAAAAATCTGTTAATCAATATTTGTTATAATTGTTGTTTTTGATGATCATGTAGATAAAATGATAACTTACTTTTGGATCATCATCATTAACTTGCCCTTATCCCTTATAGAGGGTCTGCATAGTATGTGCTTCTCTTCCATACATTTCTATCAGCTGTCATATCAAAATCCACTTCCTTCTTAAGCATATCCTCCTTCACACAATACATCAATTCTTTCTTCGGTCTTCTACCTTTCTAGCCATCCGCATTCATTTTAACACTTTCTGGTTTATGTCCCCATCGTCTCGTCTCATAACATGTCCATACGCTAACCTTTTGCCTCTCAATTTCTCCTGCACTGGCGCTACTTTCAAATTTCCTCTAATATACACATTCTTGTCGTTATTTACTTTGGATCATTATCAAATTATACTTGTAGATACTAGACTATCTCGGTTCTTTTCCTCGATTTATAGAACAGAATTATGAACTTATTCTGCACGAATCTTACATAATGGTTGGAATCCATTACATTTCGTTTCTTTTATCTTTAATGTTGATATGTTTCACGTATTTTCAGATTTACAAACCGTCTCAATGTTGTATGTCGGCCATTTTATCTGACGTTAATACTCGTTGCAATGATGCTAGTTTGTATGTGTACTGTGAAAATAGCTATTTCCGTAAGTATAGTTCTTATTCGTCTTTTAATAATTATAAATTCAAGATATCATTACAAAGTGTGAGAGTAACATCGTCTTTTATTTTAACAAGCAAACGACCAAAATTCGTTATAATAGCGAAACAGTCGCTGATTATACATCAGCAATAGCAGAAACTTTTCCTTACCTCTAATCGATGGGTGAGGAGACGCACAAAATATTGAAAAAAAGGTTAAACAAAACTCTAAACCAGATATTAATTTGAAAATTTTATTTGAGATGTAACTTTTTAATATCTTCTTTTTTTTCTAGAGCAAATTTTCTGCAGACACAATGAAATATTATGTACACAACCTTTATTTTATTCTTGCTGTTTTAATGATATGCTTACTTGGCCAACAAGTAGAAAATGAGGTACATATTACATTGTGCTTTTTATAAAAATACTTTCACAAGAAAATACAACGCACATTTACATAAGTTAAACTATAATAAAAACAGCTTTCAAAAAGTCGCAATAACAAGATATAGTCATCTCTTTCTTTCTCTTAAAATTGTTAATAACAAAATGTATTTGTACAGATATTTAACAGTATACCCACGAAATAAATGAACAAATTTAATGATTTCAGTGTGAAAATTTGGAATCGGCAGTCACAGAGAAATGGTATCTATTTGATAGAAAACATAAAACTAGCGTTTTAATTTTCAAAATGGCTGTTAGTAAAGGAATGCCGATTTACATTTTCGGATCAATTACAATATCATTACCAACTTTTACTTGGGTAAGATATCATCTATATAATAAAGCGTAAACACACTTCTTTGTTGCCTAAGATGTCAGCAATTACTTAATTTCATATTTTTGAATTATTCTTTTCTTAATAAAAAGCCCCACACTTACGTCACGCCTTAGACTATATATTATCACGCCTTTAAACTTAGGTGGTAAATATTTTGGACAAAAACCCTAATGTGGGAAAGAGACCATAAGTTGCTGCCAACATCAAGAAAGTAAGATTGTCAAGGTTTGTTATATCATGTCATTTTGACATTTGCTATTGATAATTTCACAAATGTAAATAATAAAATAAAATTTTCATAATTTCATGCGGATGAAGCCGCACGGGAACAGCTAGTCTATTCTAATATTATAAAGATGGAATATTTATATGTATTGAGATGACTTAAAAACTACTGGGCAGATTTCAAAAATTCTATCACCATTAAAAAGCTACATTCATCATCATCATCTCCTTATCCTACTCCCGTAGGGTCGGCGCAACAGGTTTTTGTCCTCCACATAACTCTATCATACGTCATCTCAGTCATCACTCCCTTTTTGATCATGTCACCTTTTACACAATCCATCCATCTCTTTCTAGGTCTACCTCTACCGATGTACCCTTCCACACTCATAACTAACGTTCTCCTTATAACATGCGATTCATCCATCCATCCATCTGATTAAAAAGCTACATTATCAGTGAGTAATATTGAGTGCTTTTTATTATTTCTAATTGCACACGAATGAAGTTTAGAGTGACAGCCAGTGTTATAATAGCTGTTGCCCGCGACTCCGCTCTTTCGAAATACGAGTAACACTATTATAGTATTGAATCGGAAGTTCATAGTTAGTAGTATAGTAGTTAAGTACTTGAGTAATATATGCTTATTAAATGTTTGTTTTGTTTTCAGTTTGTTAAAACTGGCATGTCATTTTTCACATTAGTGATGTCAGTATTAGAAGGATGAATAAAATACGTACTTGAAGATTCCAAAAACTAACCACAACGTAATAGATGTTTACGCCGCAAAGTTTAAAACATAAATGCTGTTGCCTGCGACGTCATCTACGCAACATTAAGATAAAAAAGTAGCCTATATGTCCGTCTATGTTAGCTACCCTTCAATGAAAGTCCGTTCGAAATTGGCCCAGCCGTTTCGGAGATTATCCGGAACAAACGCCTCTTTCGGACAGACAGACAGACAGACACACAGATAGACAGGCAAAAAAAATTAAAGAAAATTTTTGTTATCAGCAACCCCTCTGCATCATCTTCCTGAAATCTGAACACTCGCAATTTTATTACGAGTATATATTTATTATCATCCTTTGTTATAGAAATAATTAAATTGATTAGATAAAAAGCGGTGGTGGTTAGAGTGAATAAATTTATTATTTGTTTTTCACATTCCCTAAGTTGATTCTCGTAATCAGGAAATTGAAGTTCCGGTGTATCTAACAAAAATAATTATTAGGCAGCAACACAAATTAATTCTACCATAGATAAAAAAAAATATTCCAACATCAGGTGAGATAGTGATATAGTACTATTAAGTGTTCAATTGTAAAAAAAATGGCAACCATTAGAGAGCGCCCACATTGACTAAACCATCGCATAACAGTTCAGTCGCTTTGATTATGAGCTCATATGGGCGTGCGCACACTACTCGATTAGTTATGCAAATAAACAGTTGAATTAGCTGCGAAACAATCGACAATCGCACAACAGTTGTGCGATACTTTACCATAGTTAATGGTTTGCCCGCTCTCATACAAGTAAAACGTACACATTTAATTAGATAACAAAAAAAAACACGACTCTTGTCTTCTCCACTTTTCTAACAACACAAATTATAAAACACGCTCCAAAAGGTTTACGAACAGATAAAAAAATGTAATATATTACGGCTATAAATTTACCCTCGCGTATGTAGATGTCACAAAAGCGTACTCTTTAACATCGTTATTTAATTTATTCAATTTATTTATTCCAGTTAATTATAAAAAAACTAGTAGTGAAACAAAAAAAAAGCAAGTAGCCTATGTGTTCTTCCAGACTATGTTTTAAATCCAAAAATCATTGAGATCCGTTCAACAGTTTAGGCTACGCACTAACGAACATTAATTAATTTAAACTTTCGCATTATAATAATCATACTTATTACAAAATGCGAAAGTTTAGATGGATAGATGTCTATTAGAGTTTGTAGCCTAGACGGCTGAACGCATCTCGATGAAATTTGGTATAGACATAAAGGATAGTCTGGAAGAACAGATGGGCTACTCATTTTTTTTAAATCCACTCTGACGGAGTCGCGGGTGATACCTACCTTATAACATTAGTAAGATAAACTTCAAGGCTAATTATTTTCATATGTTATTACGACTCAAATTCGTTGTGTGGCAAAATTTAAATCTAAATAATGAGGCCTGGGATAAACTATTACGCCTTTGAACGAATCTATTCGCTTCTACATGTCCTGTATTTATCTCGAGGTTGCGATTGTCGCTTGTTTCGCAGCCAATTCAACTGTTTACTTGCATAACTAAAAATCGAGTTGTGTGAACCTCCAGATAAAAGGAAAGTTTAGTCAAAGGTGTGCACAAGATCTTAATGTGAGTTAATCAACGGTAGTACACAGTATACAATGTAACTTATAATTTATAATAGTTTGGTTAGGAATTGTAGCAGTTTGCGGTGGACATGAATTGATTTAGAGCGCTCCTTGTCGCGTGCAGTGTGCCACCAATTAGCAACCAGTCCCGCTTCTTGTGGTCACTAAATTGTACAATGTTCTTGCATAATTCTAATGTTATCTTAAAATTTATCAACATTAACTGCGATACTTTTAATGGATGATCAAGAAGTTCCTTAGTGTATTCTCCTCCATTAAAATAATCTTAGAGACGATCAAAAGATTCGTAGTGCGATAGTTAAAAGTATATTTTGCACCATCATTGCAAAGAGAACATAGCGCGACACACGCTGATTAGATAGAATGGATTAAACTGCGACGAGCTCTATGTACAGTATTGGAGGTTGACCTCTCACTGTTACAGTAAGCTATTATCACGAGCGAGAGGTCTTGCATCGCTGGTTGTGGCCCGTTGCAAAGAGGTAGCAAAAAGTTTTTAGAACTACGCCTATAAGGAATCTACTAGGTCCTCTTGGGACTCACATGAGAAAATAAAAAAATGTTCCAAGTGATCTTGTATTTAGTGTAGCTGTTCCAACCTTTACGAAATTACTTTCTTTAACATAAGTATTATTTCGTGAAAACTTGCTAAATTAAAAGAAGTGCAACATAAATAAAACTGGCTTACTTTTGTCTTTTACGCCTTAGATCAAAAAAATACTACAGCGTCGGGAAATAAGGAAAGAAATAAGTTTTCGCCTCAAGAAATTATTACTTTCGGCAACATTTAACTGAAACCACAAATAAAAAGGACAAAACAAGACTATGGTAAGAATGTGTTTATTTTATAAGGAAGCAAAAATGATAAATGAATGAACGAAAAAAAAGTATATCGTAAAAAAATAGAACCTTAATAATTAATTAACTATTATATAAAAGTAACATAGAGTTTAATAAATAGGTGGAGAATTAGAACCTTTGTTGAGATTTGATTATTCACTCCTAGACTATCAGGTAACGATTTCAAAAATTCTTTCTATTAGAAAGCTAAATTATCACTGAGTAACGTAGCCTACATACTAAATGGGACATTAAAGGGAAGGCTATTGAAAAGATATAAGACGATTCAGTACGAACCAAGCAAAAGGCCGAATTTTTTTTTTTTATAACACAAGGTGGCAAACGAGCAAGCGGCCAGCTGAATCCGCCAAAATGGTGAAGCGACCGCTGCCCATAGACATTCGCAATTGCAAATGCGTTGCCTACCCTTATCCGACAGAGAAGGAGATGCACATAAAGAGGATATTTACCCTACCTATGTATCTCCTCCTCTGTCAAATCCACTTTCCCTTCCCATCCTCTCCTCATAAGAAAAGGGCGGTAAAGAAAAAGGGACTTAAATTAGGCCTCCACCACCACACTCATCAGACGAAACACGAAATTGCTTCCACTTCACGCCTGTCTTCTGTGTGGTCGTGGTATTACACCGGGCGTGCCGGCCCATTCGTGCTAAGCGGGCACTACCACTGTTAAGTCTAATTTTGAAAATTAAGGATTTCTAGTTTATACTAATATTATAAAGAGGAAAGAGTTTTATTTTTGTAAATTTAAATAACTCAAAAACATCTCGTTCGATTTCAAAAATTCTTTCACCATTAAAAAGCTATGTTATCTCTAGGTAATATAGGTCATATTTTATTATTTAAATTCACGCGTAGTCGCGAGCAACAGCTAGTAACTTTATAAAAAGAAAATATTTGTAATTTTGAATGTATTGGAATAACTCAAAATTGCTGGGTCGAGTTCAAAAATTTTTTACCAGTAAGCTATTTTCGTCATAAGCTATGTTATTACAAATTTCCCTGCGAACAAAGCCACGACCTAGGGTCTTATATTCCTGTAAGACAAAGAATGTTACTACACATAATACCTTAGCCTCTATAGATCAGTTGCACCGTATGGTTTCCTCTATCGGATAAAATTTCAACGACCTAACACAGCCTGAAATAAAATATAGTGCTCGTAACTTACGTGATAGGATATTAAGTTTAAAAAAGTATGAAAGGTTTTAAATTTATACTTCAACGCTTGTCTACTTCTATGTAACTAAGTTTCCATTTGCAATAACTAATTTACATTCAGATGTCTTCTACTGGGTTTCTGAAGTTCCCATTTGTTTTATTATTATAATTTAGTTTCAACAGATTTAAAACCAAGTTACGTAGTTCGGAAACGCTTTTTATAAAGTTATCGAATCATAAACACTATCGATTTGTTAAAAGTCGCTGTGAAACCGGTTATAAGACAGGCTATTGGGTTCAAAGGTTAAACCACAAGACGAAGCCATAAGCAAGCGTAACTCTATTACCGCTATAAAGCGGCATATTAAGTACACTTGGAGAAGACTAATCCTTTGTCCTAGGTATGCGACAAACTCATACTATGAAAACATCGCGCCATTCTTGAAATCTAAGTGACGGATACGAACAGATTGTGGAAACAGTGACGTCTGTATTCATTTACACGACACTATGAATGAAAGTTAATAAAACAAGTTTATAGTACTAGCTTATATAGCTTACCATATACCTAATTAGTTGAACGAAAATAGAATACACCTTTTTATTTGAAATGAATTTATTTTCTTCAACTAACTACGTGCTAACGTCATAGATATAGAGCTAAGCCGGAGTTACTGAAAACCTAAAGTTAAACAGTTTCAAAACTTTACAAACAAGACTAGAGAGAAATTTCCACTGTGGCTTACCGCGTACTACTTTTTGTGATACTATAGTAAATTCTTTTGTCACAAAACCAGTTATAAAGCATATATATTGCTACTACCTTTCGCCCGTGACTTCGACCACGTGAAATTAATCAAAAACAAAAGCCAATTTTTTCCCAAGTAATCGTCTACATCAATGACAAATTTCATCAACATTCGCTGAACACTTTAGGCTACAAACTCTAACAAACATCCGTCTGTCTAAAATTCGAAAATTTCACATTTTGTAACATTAGTAAGATTCAGTGTACACGATTCTCCTTTTTGTTATACTCGAATAATCTTTTCGGAATAACGATTGTATAATTTTTACTCGTATGACCATAAATTTGAATACTAGTACTAAAACCAAATACTTCGGCTATGGAAACTCTGTAAAATAGTAAATTTTTCTAAACATACTTTGAGAATATTTAGTAGTTAGGCTATCTTTACAATTTAATACACATTACATTTTTTGATGAAACATTTCACTTTTTGATGAACCATTTATGTGATATTTTATATTTTTTAATTCCTAATTGCAATTCCCTAAGACTGCACGTAA